CCAAGAGAAGGACGAGCTGCTGCTTGAGAAAGCCCGTCGAATAGAAGAATGCGAAGATCTCAACACTCAACTGGTTTGTCCTGAACTGTTAGCAATTTCTTTCCAGTTTTGCAGATTTTTCAGAAACTTATACTGAGCAACTTCAAGCGTTGCTAGAAGAGATAATGACCGCGTGTCAGCTGAGAGGAAAAGAAGAATCAAATGAAGAGGCCCCAATGAAATTCCCAACATATCATGAACTTACAACATATCACGAAAAACTGATTCTGGGCGGTAAGATGAGCATTATTATACTCCTTATTATACGGACTGTCGGGGCGGGTCAGTGCGGCTGCGTTTTCCGCGGTGCCAAAGTCTTTCTGCACCAGTTGTTGAAGCGAGCAAATGACATGACCAGCATTATACATATCCTTCGTATTACTCGTTTTCTACCACTTTTTGTCGCATACGCGTTTCAACGAAAAGGCTGAGAACGGCTTCAAACAGTGTGCGCACTCCTACTGGCTGATACGCCCCGACAGTCCGTAATGATGAGGAGAGTACATGATGCTCATCTTGCCGCCCCTGTACTGTAATCAGTGTTTCTGCGTTTATTGTTAGTGGATTTTGGTTTGGTAAAGTTCGTAGCCGTTCAAGCCTTGCTCCTTACTTGTTTTGAGAGGTCATCTCATTATTGAACATAGTGTTCACTGTTCCACTAGAGGCGGTTAGCCTTCGGGTATTCTGGATTCTCCGAACCTGCGCTTCTTATTCAAGGGAAAGGTTCCTTCTTTGATCCAGTGGAGTTGCCTCTATATCCCCGCTTCGCCGCGCACTGTTAGCCGCAGTTTTGCATGTCGCACGGCCTGGCGTACTGATGAGCCCCTTCTAGTTTCTGAAACAGCTGGCTAGTCAACCCGCCAACAGCCTTGATCACAATTTGATGGTCAACAACGTCTTTTTCTGCTGCATACGGATTATGTGGTTGAGATACACCCTATTGTAAGACGCGATAGGCGTGGCTGCGTACACCAGTTCTACATGGCGTACGATAGTTAGTTCAGTGAGTGTTTCAGTTGGGAACATCTGCCACCTTAAAGTGTTTGAACAACGAGGTGGTCACAATCGTTCCAATAATGAAAATAGCCCATGAAAAGGCAGCTGCTGCAACGTTCGAAACGAAGAACGTATTCACGCCCACCGCTTAGTATCTTCGACTATACATCTGGTTTGTGTGAAGGAGTGACAAGCTCTTCTGTTCTTCCAAAATTTATTGACTACGCCAAAAACGCTCGGACATGAACCTTCTTTTGGTCACTGAATTACAAAAATCACTTGGATTTCACACATGCTCAATATTTACAGCATCAACAGTCATCATAGAAACGGCAACACCTACAGCAAATTGTTCGGGATGAGGAGGTAGGGATTAGCTAGACTTACATGGGCAGAAATGGGGAGTGGTAGCGTTCTGGGTATACATCCACGTGTAGGGCTAAGGTGAATGTCACGTTTTTCTTCCTACTCTCATCTCCTCCTTGCTTGTTAACCGGAGGGTCGTGCTTCTTTATTTCCAACGCTTCTCTTATTCTTCTCTCAACGGGATCAACCACATTTCTGTGCAAAATGGAGACTCGAAGTTCGGGCGGTCTTTTCTGAGCATGCCGTAGCATCTGATAGAATGGATTATCAGTTCTATGAACTACGCAGAGATCTTGTATGTTGTTCTACTCTCTGTGTAGTGGCCCTTGATGTTTCTCCTATGTAAAATTCATGACACGAAAGGCACACCACCTTGTACACTACATATTTTTCTTGACACACCTTGTGCTCTCCACAGATCTGACAGTTTGCTCTTTCACAACGACTTTCATAGGGTCGCGATGAGGTTAAAAGTCGTCGTAAAGTGAGAGGTGGTCGAAAGATCAGGCTTGTTGGAAGCCTCGATCTCTTGACGACGCCATTAACATGATTCGCTGATGAAAGGCAACACGAGGGAGTACCACAGGGTGATCGGCATGGTCTCCAGCAACGGAGTTACTGTTTCCTGTATCCATTACGCCGTGGAATATTCTCAACTTCTGTTTGCATTTCTTTCGTGATACGTGGAGATCAGCTCACGTGACGTAGAGATCATATGGCAATCACTTTCATGGGAGCGGATGGCAGCTTCTCGCATGAATTAGAATGTTTTGTGATGCCGCCCTCTTGTACCACACGAAAGTCGCACGACATAATCCAATGTTCATTCGTCACATGCTTGCTCCTTTAACGGTTTCCACCAAGGAATGTCCGTCATGCGGTAAAGCAACTGTAACGCTGTCTCCTGCACGCCGCCATAGCTGGCCAACGTCGATAAAGAAAGACATGTACATTTGGAAAATTGTTCATCTGCAAGCGGTTCTTAGACAACGAACTGAACATGGAATGTTGGCTAAAATTTACTTGGCCACCAGATTACAGCTTGCGAGCGACTTCGGCAATCCATCCAGCACAGACTATGACAAAAGTTCATTGAGGAACTCAGCGCTGCCTTCATACAGACTCCATCCCACCACGTCCATGCCCATGCGCGATCAGCGATAACGGCTGCGTTGATAACGATGTACAGGCAATCTTGAACCTTGGCCCAAACTTGTCTAAAACCAAAATTTTCGAAGAAATTGGAATGACATAATTACGGTACCTCACAGAATTTTCGTACAGTCAAAGCTGGAAAAACCAGATAGGATCCAGGGAGTTGGCACTCCAACAAATTCTCCGGAGAGAAATGCCGCTCCCTCGGAGATATACCCACATCAGACCCTGAATTTTCCTCAAAAGTGATCACACTGAAATAGCATCCTCTTCGAGTGTACCACCGGCGAAGAAGCCGCAAACTTCCGATAGCATGACGTATGAACTTCCGATAGACGTGGAGCGAGGGGGTCTCACGTTAAAACTATCAACTTGAAGAGGACGCTACGATTTTCAGTGGGAGATAAATGTGCTGGTTTTGTTGTGATGTCACGGGAACGAGGCACTTGTCTGAGCGAAGATGTTCTATCATGCCAGCACATACGATATGGTTTCAATTGAACACTAAACGTGAATATCGGAATCTTGAAGAAGTAATAAGAAGAACCGTTGGTTCAAAGTTTGAGAAAGGGCATAGTGGATCAACTTCTGCCGAAATGCGCCAGCATACTAACTTATTACCAACTAGTCAAGACTCATAAGTTGGTCAGAAGCGTGAACGGTGATGTAGTGGACCACACTTCTATCAAAACCAGACCTATAGTAGCATCCTGTGGCGGTCCTACGGACAGGATAAGCTGGTTTCTGTATAATAGTTGCACTTTACACCAATGTTGATAACCGAAGAGCTGGGAAGCATGTATGCATCTTTTGCATCTTCACCACCACCAGCTCCAACTCTTCGGTCTTGTTGTATGTATTTTGAGGACATTAAAGAGCTCCTACGAAACGTGGTGAATGTGAACATATTCCGCTTCAGAAACATCTCTACAAGCAGACAAGAGGACTTGCCATGGGTAGCAGACTGGCTCCACTACTAGTAATAATCTCCAAGTTGTCCCTTCTTGTAACCTCGGCATGATGTCGAATATTTAGTTATTTCTGCCAAACGAGGTTGTTAGATAGAACCTTTTATTGGCCCGACGTTTCGACCTTCTCGTCTTCTTCAGAGGCCTGAAAATGGCTCGAAGCTTTCAATTTGTCACCTACCCGACCAAGCGCCTTCCCCACTCTAGCGTTTCCGACGTCGTGTCCCGAACGCCCCCGAAGAACCCAGTAATAACTGCGCACAACTCACCGAGGTGGTCAGGAGCTATTACTCTCAAGTTAGAGGTTTGGCTATGGGTCAGCGACTAGCACCAGTACTCGCGATCTGCTTCATGAGCAGAATTGAAGAACCAGTACTGAGTCGTTCTCCTTTGATGTACTGCAGGTACATCGACGACTGCTTCATTGTAACATCAACACAGTCCGAAATGGATGAGTGTTTCCGATTACTAAATGAGCAGTCGCAGTACATCAGGCTCACACGAGAGGTACCAAAACACGGTTGGCTACCATATTTGAATACGCAGGTGAAGCTGTCCAACGGCATTGTTAAAGTAAAGTGGTACCGCAAACCTAGCTGTAAGAATATCCTGATCCACGCGACGTCTTCACATCCTGTTGCGGTAAAACGTGCAGTCATCAGGAACATGATCACTACTGCAACCAGGATGTGCACAGGCCGAGGAAAGAACGAAGAAAGTCGAGACTGCTTTAGGCTTCGACCCAAGTTTGCTGAAGAAATGGTTATGCGGCTACGAGCATATCGTAGAACACCGAATGCCAGCCTTCGACATGTATCACGCCAAGGAAAGCTACCCTTGTGCCTTCCTTTTATTTCCGATGACATCAGCACTGAAATACGTCGCAGTATTGTGAGAGCACAGTTGCAGGATGATGTTGTCTTGGTGAGCATTCCCAACAGCAACATCAACGCCAACTTGTTCGCAACAGACTGTACGACAGGCAGTGCATGACACCAGATTGCGTTATTTGCCCATATGGAAGGGTAGGAGATTGTGAAAAACTGGGGTAATTTATCAACTTGAATGCAGGGCTTGTAACAGCACGTACATCGGAGAAACAGGAAGGGACTTAGCTACTCGCATCAATGAACACCTAGCTGGAAAGAGGCGTGATATGATGACAACCCCTCTTGGCAAGCATAAGGTTGAGGAGCATAACGGGAATGACTTTGATGTTAAGTGTACAATACTCGGGTACGAGACGGAGATATCTTCCAGGAAAGCCCTGGAATCGTTTTGGATTTTTGCGAAGAAACCAACGGATGAACGGCCGAACGAGTGTCCGTCAATTACAATGAGTTCTTGCCGTTTGTATCACATTGTGAGCTACAGTAAGGGCGACGTGCACAATGACAATTTGACTTATGTGTCACGATGAGACTCCAGTGGGTCTCATTCGTCCTTACTTACATTACTGACACATAGCGTGAGCTAGGCTCCGCACGGTGGAACCTCGGTGAGTTGTGCGCAGTTATTGCTGGGTTCTTCGGGGCGTTTCGGAACACGACGTCGGAAACGCTAGAGTGGGGAAGGCGCTTGATCGGGTAGGTGACAAATATAAGCTTCGAGCCATTTTCAGGCCTCTGAAGA